AGAGATGAAAAGATTGAAAAGAGAATTGGAGATACTTTGGGATGCATGATTCCTTTACAACCTCAATAAGAAATTAGAACTGGAGAACTTGAACTTGAAGAATAGAGTATTTTATCAGGAAGGTCTTTTTTGCCTATTGGAAAATCCTATATCTGCTTTCTTTAACAGAACTTTTTATTCTTTCTTGTTTAACTAGAGATTTGCTTTTAATTTCATTTTTCCTGTATTTTCTTCTTCAAAGTTCATGGTTTTATTGTGGGAGATGCAGTAATCATTAAGTATGCTTTGTGGGCTAGCTGTAATGGACAGGGAGCACTCTATAGGTCACTTCCATTACACTGCATCTTTTGCTTGTTTCTCTAGTTTCTTCATGTCTTTTTTATTCAACAATTTAATAATACTTGTGTTAGGTTTGATACAAGTAGAGGACTGGGTTATTTAAGTATTTGCATCCATGTTGCATAACCTGGATACAGAACTCTTCAGTAGCTAAAGGATGTTTCTTCCTATATATATATGCTAGGTTATATGCTGATCGGTCAAAATATGGTTTCAAGAGAAAAAAATTAATAGGTGTGGCAAGAACTTTTCCTTCCAATGTTATAAGCTTGAAAACATTATTGGGCAAGACATCATAAATGTAGAAAGGTCCTTTCTATTTTGGTTTCAGTTTTCTTGTAAAGTGTTTGTCTCTGGTGGTATTATACATTAGCACTTTATCTCTGATTTTGAATTTCTTGTACTTTGTTACTTTTTGATCAAATCTTCATTTTTGTTTCTGTTGTTTCTTGTAAATATTTCTTCTTGCTTGTTCTTGTTGTTATAGAAGTTCTTCTAATAAAGTATATAATCAGTCAAGAATTGTTAGTTGCAATATTTCATCCATAATTGTTATAGACATTTGAGGTTTTCATCTATAAAGTAAATAAAATAGTATTATTTTTGTAAAATATTGTTTTGATATTCTGTAAGCAAAAAGTACTGGCGAAATGTATTGGTCCCAATTTTTTTTGCCTTCAGTTAACTTCACAAGTGACTCATACAAAGTTCTATTAAATCATCCAACCAATCCATTGGTTTAAAGAGGATATGATGTGGATAATAAATGTTTTATCTCAAATTGTTTAAGTAATTCATTTACTATTTCATTTTGAAAATAAGTTTCTCTATCAAACAGGATTTGTTTTGGATATTCATGTCTACAGATAATAACTTGATAGATGAATTCTGCTACATGTTTCCAGTAGCTTCAGATATTGCTTTTGCTTTGAGCCATTTGGTAAAATAATCTGTTACAACAACAATATACTTGTTTTTTTGTTTAGTGATTGGTAAAGGTCCTACAATGTCTATAGCAATTCTGGAAAATGATTCTTTAACAAGAATGAGATGCAAAGGTCTTGATGTTTTGTATTTTCCATGTTTTTGACATTAGTCACATAATCAGATGTAGTTTTTAATATTTTCGAACATCTGAAGCCAGTAGTATTGATCACGAATTTTCTCAAAGGTTTTGTCAATTCCTAAATATATACCAGTAGAATAGTTATGTATTAAATAAGTATTGCTTCGATCTCATATTTTTGGATGACTTTGAATAATTAGTTTTAAGTTTTTCTTCTTTTATCTTTCTTGTAAAGTTAATTGTTTTGATTTTGAAAAATTTGCTTTGTGATTATAAACATTTTTGTTAATTGTTATCTATATTTGTTGGCAGTTTGTTGTTAAGAATATAATTTTTCAATTGATATGTTTCCATATTGTTAAAGTTTGATTGCCAGAACACTGACTACCTAGTCTGAATTCTGTTTTACGTCAGATTTCTTTGATTGTTTCTTCAAAAAGGTTTTAATAGTAAGTGACAAGATTAGTATTTATCTATCAGACTGAATTGCAAAGATAATTTTTGGAATAATTATTTAATTCTTCTCTATGTTATTTGAAAGATTGCTCAAGTTTTGATAACTATCAGTAATTGTTTGACAGTTGGATTTGTTCTTCAAATTCTTCATCACTTAATATTGTTCTTAGAATTTGATAGAAATTGTAATCACAAAGCTGATATTAAAATTTTTTTTTTTGGAAAAGGATAGAGACTGATTTTATTTAGAATGATTTGAATGAATTGAGTTATTATTGATTGGTCATCATCTGTTCTTTATTTTCTTTTATAGGCACATTCATCTTTGAAATGATATCTGTTTTGATCAGATAATTTCTTACACCAGTTGCAAAAAATATGGATATAATGATCTTCACCTCCTTTTTTGCAGATAGGACAATACCTTCCTACAATAAACCATTCAACTTTATAAAGTGATTCTTCATAATCAGAGGTATAAGATTCAACAGAATTGGCAGTTATAAAACTATAATTAAAGTTCTAATTATCATCATCTTCTTGGAGCATATAAATAGATTTTTTATTTCATACTATATATGCGTGACATGGCATCAGCATTGTTGTGCTTTCTTTCTGCTCTATAAATAACAGTATAGTTGTAAGGCTTTAGACATAGGATCCATTTGACTCTTCTTCCTTTGAGTTCAGATGTCTTTAACCATTGAAGGATGAAATGGTCAGTTATTAGGTAAAAGTAATTAGTTCCAAGATATTAATAAAAGTATTCAACAGTTCAGATGACTGCTAAACATTCTTGTTCAGTAGTAGAATAATTTTGCTCAGGCTTAGTTAAACTTCTGCTAGCATATGCAATAATGTGTTCTTGTTTCTCTTTTTGTTAAGCAAGTACTGCTTTCAATTCAGTATCAGAAGCATCAGTATGGAGATAAAATGGTTGATTGAAATCAGGATATCTCAAGATTGGTGCAAAAATTAAGTATTATTTTAGCATTTGGAATGCTTTTTTTTGTGTTTAAGTCTATTTAAAGAGTACTTGTTTTTCAAGAAGTTCATTTAATAATTTGACAATAGTTGAGAAGTTGGCAATAAATTTTCAATAATAGGATACTAATCCTAAGAATTTTTTTAGATGTCTAACATTTGTTAATCTTGGAAAGTTTCTAACTTTGATAATTTTGTTATTATTTGATATAATTCCATCATAGCTGATTTCATGTTCCAAAAGTTTAACACTGGCAAGAAAGAAGTGGCACTTTTCCATATTCAATTTCAAGTTTGCTTGGCAAAAAACATCTAGGATGATATTTATATAGTTACAGTGATCTTGAAACATTTTGGAAAAGATAATAATATCATTCAAATATACTTCAACAAAATTCTCTTTATAAGGTCTGAGAAGTTCATTCATGAGACATTGGAAAATAGCAGGAGCATTGCATAATCCAAAAGATATAACATTGAACTTATAAAGTCCATATTTTGTAATGAAAGCAAGCTTTATTTTATCTTTATCACTCATGGCTACTTGCTAGTATCCACTTGTTAAATCAAAACAAGTAAACTATTTGGCATCTTGAAAGGAGTCTAGAAGGTCATCAATTATTGGAAGAGGATAGACATCTTTTTCTGTAACTTTATTTAATTTTCAGAAATCAATACAAAATCGTTTCTTGCCATTTTTCTTTGATACAATTACAACTGGAGATGCCCAAGAACTGGAGGTAGGACCGATGATTCCTTTTTTTAACATTTTACCAATTTTATTTTTGATGAAGTCTTGTTGATCTGGTGATGTTCTATATATACGTTGCTTGATGGATTTTGTATTTTCTGTGTCAATAAAGTATGTAATCACAGTAGTTCTTTCTAGATCTTGAGTTTGTCCTTCTTTGGAGATATGTTCTACAAATATATCTTCATTTTCTTTTATAATTTAGTTAACTACTTCTTGTTGTTCATTAGTTATTAGATTAATTTCAGGTATTGTTTCTTGATTAATCATGTAATCAAAGAGATATATCACTGGATTTTCTTTAATTTGGACTTCAAGCTCTTCATTTTCTTTATATTTCTTATCTCTTTTAGCATGATTAGATTAGTAGGTCTCTTGTTCTTCTAAATTTTCATCATTGTATTCAATCTCTTCAAGTTCATCATCACTGTTTTCTGAATCCGTGATGTATTGAAGTGTTTCATCAGTAAAATGAGTAGTTGTGATCTTGACAGGTTTATTCTAATATTGAATCTGTAAGATTTGAGAATCAAAATTCCACTTGGCCCTTATCTTTTGAAACCAATCAATTTCCAAAAGAAAAATTTTCTCTTGAGATTCAATAACTTGGAGCTTGATTGGAATGATTAGATCTTGAATACAAATTTGGACTTTAGTAATCTGACCCAATGTATGAACTCTGTTTCCATTAGCAATAACTACAATAGTTTTGAATGAAGTATCTAATTCCAATTCTAACTTATGCATCAGTTTGTTCGTGATGATACTAACAGCAGCTCTTGAATCAAGGATGGTGATCACAGGATTTCCTTTGATTCTGATATAACATTTAGCTAATGAAGTCTTTCTTAAGTTATTTTCCAATTGAAGATAATTGGTTTCAACTGTTTTCTTTGGTCTCTTGAGAATCTTAACAAGATTCTTTCATTGGTTAAGGTATTAGAGCATTTGTTCCACAGTAGCACTTGATTGCAACTTGAGAATATCTTCAGAAACATCATATAGTATAAGCTTATCAACTATAGATAGTTGGGACTTCATTTTTGGCTTCTTTGTTTTGGATAAAGTAGGTTACACTGAAGGAGGTTAGTAATAAACAAATGGGTTTTCTATTTTCATTAGTTAAGTAATATTTTTCTTTAATTGCAGATTGAATTTTTTTGCTAATTTTGATTGTTTAACTTTTTCTTTTTGTTCTTCTTAATTGGTAATATAGGGTTGTAATCTGGCTTTTTGTCCCATATATATATATTCTTCTTCTTCACTAGATGCTTCTTCATTAGAGGTATCTTTAATTATAAGATAGTTTACATGTTTGTTTTTCTTGACATATTGATTTTGTTGGTAAAATTGTTGGGAGAGCATAGTTCTTTCAAATAAACAATCATGGGCAATGTGTTCTACTTAGCCACACTTGAAACAGATTCTTGTATCTCTTTGTAATATGTATGCTAGTGGCAACTTAGAAGTATCAGGCTTGTAGTATGGCTTGTTTTTTTTTTCAACTTTGATGAAAATATCTTCAATTTGGGCTGCAAGCTTTAAATGTATCTTTTTGAACTTCTGGACAAAATTATCCATGGAATCTTGAGAAGTTTCTTTGTTTTTGAATCCAAAAATCTTTTCTGGTTTGAATCTTGTGATAGTAATTAATTATCAAGCAACAATTTTCTTGAATACTACTTGTTATTATTAATGGGAAGGTAGTGTTATAGTGTGACACAGCGAGTCTGTCACTTCAATCTGGCCTATGCCATGTAATGGTTGTAACTCGTCTTTCTTTGAAATAGGTGTGTATGTTTTTAATCAAGTATATATTGTGGATCTGTTAATTTATTATAGTTGTATCGAAATAACCAACCTTTTCTCAATTGCTTTACTTGTTACTTTTATACTTCTTTACTATATACTTGATATACCAAATATACCAAATATACTTGATATACTTAATATACCTAATATACTTGATATACCTAATATATCTGATATACCTAATACACCTGATATACTTAATATACTAATTATATCAAATAGATCTAATTATCTTTTTCTTATTTATCTATCTTTTTGTATTACTATTTTTAACTTTAACAGTAGTATTTGGGGAGGTATTGTATGCAGTGATATATGGTAATATCAATTTATAATATAAAAAAATAAAGTGACAAATTTGAATATAAATATTTTTATTTGGTCATTAATTTTTTAAATATTTTTATATCATTATATTTATTAATTATAAAAATAAATTGAATTTTAAATAAGAATGTTTCAATAAAAAAAATATTTAATAAAATTACTTTATTTCTTTATAAGGCTTCTTTTATATTTCAAACTTATTTTATTACTAATGTGCAATAAAATATTGCTAATTTCCATTAGCCTATCTATACTTGTAACAATAGTGATTGTTCAGATTTATCAAAAAATATTACAAATATACAAATATCTTTTTAATAATAAGCAATAAAAATTAATATTTTTTTAAAGGTCAATAGCAATCCTTAAAACTTTAATTCTCTTTTCACCAATACTCAAGAAAATAATCACAATTCTGATATTACTTAGAAGAATAATTACAATATAGACCTAATGAAAATCAGTCCCAATTGAAATATCAATCAAAAGATTAATAAGAATCAAGATATTTCTTAAAAGAATAATCTCAATTAAGACAATCTTTAAAAAAACAAAGTCTATTAAAACAGCTTTCAAAAGAATAATTTGAATTTTAACAACTCAAATATTTTTAAGACAACAAACTCTAGCTCTTTTATTTTTAAAGTAACAAACTCTAACTTGTCAATTTTCAAGGAAATAAATTTTATATTAACAAGACTCAAAAGAACAAATAATATTATATCAAACATCAAATTACATCTTGCCAATATAATAAAAATTATGAAAAATTGTTTTTTATTTGAAAATTGAGAAAGATTACAGAAAAGAGAATTGTCAGATAGTATAATAAATTTTATAAATTTTTTTTTAATTACACTTTAAAATATACTGTATATCTTATCAATTATGTCTCTTTTGAAGAGACATAATTATTTTTAATAAACAGCAACATTATAGGTATCAAGTTAATAAATAACTTTTTTGTAATAACAGTAACTTTATTTTTTGATAAAAAGTCTTGACAATAATATTTAAGAGATTGGAATTGAAATAAAAAAGAGATATAAATATAATAAGTCTAATTTACAGATTATAAATATAAGTATTTTAATTAGGGCTCTAAAAAGTATCAAAATAGTATTGATCCATAGCAAATTTAATATACTGTATGTGTTTATAGTAAATTTAAGTATTGAACTGATATTGAAATAGTATCAAAGTGGTATTATTAGGAGCCAAATTTTAATTAATAAATTTAAAACAAAATCTATCTAATTTTATATTTTTTTATGACATAAAAAAAAAACTCTTCCTGTCAATTAATTTTTTACTTGAAAATTTCCTTATTTGGGAATAGTCTTCCAAGAAACACTTTTTCTCTCAGCACTCCCAAGTGCACTCAACTGCTAACTAACTCCCAACATGGAGCATCTCACAACAAACAGCAACAAAAAACAATTCCTACATGCTACTATCTATCAGAATTGGAACCAACTCTTCCAAATCTACTATCTCGACCTTAACAACAATACAATCAACAGAACAGAATTTGCAAGATCT